TTTTGTTTTTAGTTGCTTAGGGTTTAGGGGTAGAAGAGAAAGGGAATTGGTTTGGAAAGAAGGCCGAGTTGAGAAAGGTGAAGGACAGACATTCAGAGACACAGACAGAAGCAGCAACAACTCTCGCACGTGGGAGAAAAAAAAAAAAACATAGTGGGGGCAGGGTCAGGGGGCACACGTGGGAGGTGGGAATATGTTTTGTCGTTTGTGGGAAGGGGAAACAGGGAGTGGGCCTCACAAGGATTAGGCATTGGATCTTTGCAAAATAGGAAATATTACTTTTCTTTTGTAACTTTAATGGGAAAAAAAAGCTATGTCATTTTTTAAAGCATCATTTTGTCACATCAATATCCCTCCCATTTCTACACCCTTCATTTCTCTATTATTTTCATCCTAATTTCTTCCTCAACTCCCTTAAGATGCTTCATAATCAATATAATCGATAGAAGTAACGACACATACATTCAAAAAATTTTACGACACCTGAAAATTCATATTAATAGTGGTTTCAATTCCACTATTATATTCCTAAATAATAGAGAACACGATTCAAATTGAATCAATTTACTTTGATTCTTTTTATGTTTATTATCTTTATTTATTCATTGCATTATTCATAATAGTACATATTCATCTTACTCAAGACGATAATGCGATAATATTCTTCCATTAACTAAAAATTCTAATTTTGTTCGCCTCTAATCAACATAGAATCAAATGTATTTGTCAACTAACGCAATAAAATAAAGAGGGAGAGAAGGTAGTAATGGGTAAGGTTGATGGATATGAAAGGAAAAGGCAAAACAAAGGTGTCCCACTAACCATACCAATTGGGCGGTGTGCGTTTCATTAGTTTTGTTTTGGTTTAATGGGTTACATTCGGCTTTCAATATACAATAATTTTAGATTAGGTTGCAAAAAGGGGTGGGGGGCAAGTGTTTATGAAATGAAATTCAGTGTACAAATTAAAGTAAATGAAATCAAGTTTTTGTGTCTGTTTCTTCATCTCTATCCAATCTCCTTTTGACCATAATTGTGATTGCTTTTTGGATGTTTCAAATCCCTTCTTCCCCACACATTAATGCATATCTTCAACACAGTCAATGCTCAAACAAGTGGCTAGGGAAAACCATATCTATAGACATATATATATATATTTTGGTACAACAATCAACCTTAATCAAATGGTTTGGTGAGATACTGAGGTCACCCATGATGATAATATATACTTAACCCTATTTGCTAATATAATATTGTAATCACATTTTAACACCATACCCTAATCAAACTCACCAGCGTCCTATTGGTTGACCGATGCTACCCCTAATCTATCATCTTTCAGTATAATCTTGTTTCTTTCATCTTAATTTCTGTATGATCTTTGGTTAATTCATTGAATGTGAAGAAGAAAAACAAAAGAAAAGTAGTTTAGTGATACAATGCCCCTTTAATTTCGTTCTAATTGTCTGATTCATTTTGTCATTTCTCATTTGTTAGCTTGTGTTGGGTCCTTTATTGGTATCTAATTAGTGTTTCTCTTCCAATTTAAATATTCAAATATATGTTAGGTGAGAATTCAAACCTTCCTATCAATTAAGGTTTTTTTTAATCATTATATTCTCAGTATCAATCTCATTTAGACTTGGTCTCGGTTCACCTCATTTACTACTACACCTTCAATCAATACTCTGAATTCATTACATCCAAAGTAGGGTTTTATGAACATGGCTAAGAATGCAAATGAAAACTAACAACAACATTGTAATTATAATGCATGAAGAAATTAATAGCTAGAATTAAATACAACTTGTAATGCTTTACAAATCTCAAATCAAATGATGTATTAGCCATAACATAAAAATAGCGAAGAAAAAACACACCACAACTGAAAAGACAACCCAATTATCTTGTTTATTTATCAATCCCAATCAAAAAAAAAAAAAAAAAAAAACATCCCTCCTTTAATTCTCTCTCGCTTTGTTTTTTTGTTTTTTTTTTTTAATTTTCATCAGGAACCCTAATTGTTGAATAGATCATCATCATCATATCATGTTCTTTGTCTAGTTAGGCTAAATAATTTGAAATTTCAATATGGTGGCCGGACATAAGCGTACCCGTCGTGCCCAAGCTGAACTCCGTTGGGCATCATATCCGGAAGTAAATTATAGAGAGGCAAAGTCGGTTCCGGCATCCCACTCCCCATCTGCCCTCCTCCACTGCCTCTAATTTCCGGCGGTGGGCTTCTACCACCGCCGTGTGAAGCGGAGCCACTGCCAACTTCATGGTCGTCGGGATCTTCAAGAGGCAACCTTTCATATGTCGCATTAGCAAAAGTAGCAGCAATTACCATAATGGGTCCAGCAGCTACAAGCGACCCAACAACGCTACCGCCGACAACCTGCCCTTGACCGCCGGACAAGTAAACGGTCAGGCCAGTGGACCCAGGTGGGGCCGGGCCTGGTAAAAACGCGCCGGTTAAAGAAAGAATCTCGAACCTTCCTTGGAGTGGCATTACGGAGCCAGGGGCAGCGGGCTGACGCAAAGTGACGTTAGCAACCAAACCCGTTGCACTGAGAACACAGACGCCACGCTGGCGTTTACGGGCGAATTGAGCGATGGAATCGGCCACGTCAGATCCCGCAGCGACCTCTAGGACGTAGCTTCTAAGGGCGTTGGGACTGTCACGCGTGACGAAGATAGGCGGTTTGGGTTTGTTCTTAGATCCAGGTGGACGGCCTCTTGGCCTTCGAGTTCCAGCCTCGACCGCCCCTTCTGTAGGCTCGTCACGGTTGTTGTCGTCGTCGTCGTCTCGACTGCCGCTTCCACCGCCGCTGTTTTCATCGCTTTGTTTGTAAATAGGCGAGTTGATTGCTGTGGGGTGATGATGATCCACTCCCGACAGCCCCACCTGCGTTGTCCACCAAGGATTCGCCAGACTTCAATTAATCGATCCCTCAATCTAAATTTTTTTTTAAAAAAAAAAGATTAATTCTGAGAGAGGAGAAGAAAATGGAATGGAGGAGTAGCAAAGAAAGAAGAATAAACCCAGAGATGGGAACAACCAAACAAATTATAATATTGTGCAAATTTTGGGCCTATAACAACCAAACAAATTAAATTATTTGATTCATCTATTTATTTATTTATTTATTTATGTAAGTGGAAAACGTAGTCTTTGTTTATAATATATATATATATATATATATATAAGAAATGGTGTGATGATCAGCACTGCTTTTAGGGGTTCTTGGAAATTAGGGTTTGGTGGGTGGCGTGCGCGTGGGAAGGGGTGACCTATGACAACCACTTTTGTTTTTGTTTCTGTTCTTCTCGAAACAAGATAAATGGGCCTCCCCTCCCCCCATTATCCTCCTCTTTAATTGGCCCATTTCTTACCCACTTTCACTCCAATATCCAAATATTACATAATTCAATTTACCTAATACGAAAATGTTAAACTAAGTTCTGGGGGATGGAATCTTTGTTTTTAGAGGAACAAAAAATCATTTCTTTTGAAAAAGGAGAAGTGACAGTAAGTTGACCAATTGATATGAATTAAAAAAAAAATGAGGATAAGATTTGAAAAACTTGTGTGTTTATTAATAACTAGAAGTCCATCCTTAGTTTTCCGCGTGATTCGTTATCGTTTCTTTATTTTATATGAATCAAGTTGGAATCACCCCCACACAATTTTCAAACAATTACAAAATGGAAAATTCAATCCAGAGAAGCTTTATACATACACATTGTTTCGTGGATTAAGTATATATATGTGTATATATTCAGACCGGCACAAAGGGGGTGCCCATTGGGAGTGGCCCATCATACAACGGACACGCCGGGTGTTGCCACTTGGTAACGTTTAGCCCTTTGGTCTCTTCCCTCGCCTTATTCTCACCCATCAACAACACATCTTGGCTTGAATTACCACAAGGTGAAGCTGATACAAGAGGGGTCAACAACGGTATAGCCACGTTCCAATTCGACGCTCGGTTTATCACAATGGATGCCGGAGCCTGGCTCTGTAGCCGTGTCGGCGGGGTGTTTCTTCTCTCTGAACCAGCCATTTTTTTTTGTCTGAAGATTGGAGTGGGTAAGAAAACACAATTGTGGAAGAAGCTTAGAGAGAGAGAGGAGTGAGTGATTTCTCAGATTCAGGTACGGAGATTTAAGGGTTAAGAGAGATTGGTCAAAATTCAAAGGTTGAGTTGGCCATGTCATTGACTGTTTCTGAAAATCCTAAAAAAAGAGTTTGGTTTACCGGACACCTGAAATCTCTATATTCCACGTGGAGACGTAGGATTCGGTGATGCTGGACTAATTACTTACGTGACCGATCATGTACACGTGTATGGTCTACATTTAGCGCTTTAATTGGGTATGGTTGGCCAATCGCTGTCTCAAAAAATAGACTTTTTTGCTGCTGACTTTACACAAAATGAGGGCCACGCTCATTGGACTTCTAATCTTCTGATGCAATAATATAATATTTACCACTAATTTCCACGTAATATAAATGAATAATAAGTTCTGTTCATCAAAAAAAGCATCTTGACCTCTTCAATCCTCGCCGTCCAAATTTCCTCGTCAGTGAGGGCAGCCTGGACTTGTTGCATCCATTCCTCCACGGTGTCGTCTCCACGTGGTCAAGTCCATTACAAATTTTGACTTTTGACTTTTGATAAACTTTGACTCAGTTTCTTTATAACGTCTAATTTGATATGGATGGTCAGAAGATTTATAAAAAAAACCACCTTCATAGTGAATTTTTGACCAATTGTGCACTTCGTGTTTTCGTCTCGTTGAACCCACTCGATAACTTTTTTGTTCGAGAGTTCTATTGACATGACTAAGTTAAATAAAATGGTGTGGTATTAAGTGCATTAAAGAATCGATTAGACAAAATTAAAAATTTGATAGTCGAAGTGCTTGGGCCTAACGCTTTCTTGATCTTATTTATTTACGCAACAAAAAAGTTGAATAGACCATTTGCATCAAACGACATGTGCACTCTAGAGAAGCGTGGCGGTGTCTTCATCCTGACCCTCACCGGCGACAACGAGCACTGGATCGGCCCCACCTTCATTTCCTCCTTCCTCTCTCTTCTCGCCCAAGTCAAGTCCCAAGCCACTCGCGGTTCAGTCCTCCTCACCACTTCCCATGGTCGCTTCTTCTCCAACGGCTTCGACCTTCCCTGGGCCCGAACCGCCGCCTCCAAATCCGCCGCTACAGACCGCATACTCCACCTCGTCCACATCTTCAAGCAAGTCGCCGCCGCTCTTCTCTCTCTCCCCATGCCCACCATCGCCGCTGTCTCCGGCCATGCCTCCGCCGCCGGTTTCATTCTCGCTCTCTACCACGATTACCTGCTGATGAGGCGCGACAAAGGTTTCCTCTACATGAGCGAGGTCAGTGGTTATTTGCTTTCTTTTTTTTTTCTTATTTAAAAATTTTATGTTTAATTATATAAAATAGTCATCATAGATTCTTTTAAAATTTGAAATGTTTCATATCCATTTTTTTTTAAAAGTATATAAATTGATTAATTATTTTAAAAATCTTGAAATTATATTTTCAAATTAAATAGTCGTAAGTAATATACATACACCTTATAATTTTGACACATCAACTATTAGTTGATTTCCATTATTTATTTTAATTGACAATATATTTTATAAAATAATTTTACATTTCAAAATTTTTTAGACCAAATTTAAATTTCGAATACATAATTGAAAATATTCAAAATTTAAAGACACAATTAAGAAATAAATTATAAATTTTGGTGGGTTCTTAAATTTTTAAAATTATAAATTTAGTTTATCAATTTTTTTTTTTAAAGTCAATGAATTAAACTTTTATTGACTTATTAAACATCAACCATCACAGTTAAAAAAATAATAATAATAAATAAATAGTATCATGTTTAAGATAAATGTTTGCTTAATCCACCCCACCGAGAAGATGTGAGAGTTCTCTTATTTATAATTATTTACACAATTTACCAATAATATGGAAATAGCAATAAAAGAAAAGAATACTAAATGAATACAATATATTTTCCTTTAATAAAATGACAAATATGGCAAGCCGTAATATAAGACAAATATCTAGATATTTACTTTATAATGAATGGTCAACTATCCATAATATTTAATACCGATATTTAACATCATATTAAACTAGTGCTAGGACATTGGCATTAATATCCTATTAAATTCACTAATATCGTGTTAGGTTGGCATTAGAAAGAAAGGAAAAAAAAAAAAAGGATATTACCATAAATATTATATTAAATTATTATTGAAACGAGCTTAAAAAATATTATGATTTAGTAAGATAGTGACTAATATATTTGTAAATTTTGTATTTTGTAGTTAATAAGTTTATAAACTTTAACCAATAGGTTTAATAATTTTCCTAAATTTTCATTTATGCATCTAAAATAAAATTGTGATCTAAAATTTTAAAATTTCTTATCAATATTAAATAAGAAATAAAACTATACCTCTAACTTTTTGGTAATGAACTTTAAAAAATCCATTAAATAATCAAAATAAAAATGTTTATAATTTGATTAGTTAAAATATTTATAATTTTAGCAAAAAGGTTGGAAATTTGGTAGACAATTTAAAAATAAAAATTTGAAATTAAGGGATTTAATAAATAAAAAAAAATAAAATTGTATTTCATGATTTCATACACGTATTTGATAGTATATTTATAAATTTTATTAATGAGCTTCATTATATATTTACAACCCATAAAATTAGTTATAATTGTATACCAAATATTAGGTGGAAAATAAATTACTATTAATTAAATTAGGCACACTTTTTTATTAAAAATGTGTATAATTAATGTTTCGCGATATTCTATTGTTAATTTAACAAAAATTTATTGAATATTAAATTATTGTTTTACAATATCTATAATTTATAATCTATTATATTATACATTATTTTCTTAATTTAACAAAAATTAATGGTTTACTTTAAAAAAAATTATCTATTTTTAAATATAATTATCAATATTAAAATTTTTAATTCAAAATCCATACTTACTAAATAGTTTTTTAAAAAGGCTCATGCAAAATGGAAGTGGGTTGAACTTAAGGTGTACATCCAATTCGAACTGAGTCCTTATTTTAAGTGTTGGGTTGGATTTAAAAGGATTTTGGGTCTGAGTTAGGGTCGTTGTTTAAAATCCGATTCGGATTGAGTTGGGTTTAGTTTGAAATTTAAATTATTGGGTATCCCGACCCAACTTGAAAACTTTAGAAAAAAAAAAAAAAATGAAATAGACCCATTCCCACACTGTCTAAGCCCATGAGTCATTGTCTGCGTCTTACCTTGGCGTGGCTACACTTTGCACACTGTTTCTCTACGAACTGTCTCTCTCTTTGCTCTTTGACCATAAGTTCGAGACTTTGTCGTGCAGCAGCGTTCGTCCTCATCCTTGAGGGTAATTAGGTAAGTGAAATGAAGTCTCGACTCTCGCTCTCGTAGTCTCACACACTCACATCACAACGTTAGTCTTCGTTGTTCGTCATTTGACTCCTCTCGGCTTTCTGTGTGTGTCGTTGTTCGACTTCTTACTCTCGTTTAGTCTCTATGTGTCATCAAGCGTCGATATCGCTTGCCTCTATTTCTCTGTTGGATTCTTTTCTCAGTTCCCATTTCTCTGCTCAAATTTGTCTCTGTGTTTTTCGTCGAACGTCGTTGCTGACTTTCTCTCCACTTGACACTTTGTTTCACTTCTGTCGAACTTCTCCACTTTGTGTTTGTCGTCGGATTTCTCTGCTTAATGCTCCGACCTAAACCCAATCCAAAAATAAAAAGTTGAGTTGGATTGAGTGGTGAAAATTTTTGAGTTAGGTTGGATTACGAATCCAACCATCCTGAACAATCGTGTTGGTTTCAAAAAATCTCCCAACCCAACACAATCCGAGAACATGTACAACCTAGAATCCTCAATATTCTGAAAATAACTAATAAACACTTCAATATTTTGACTTTTTTGAGGATTTGAAACTGCATGCATCCACAAATTTGAAAGTAATTTAACCGTGAACATATAATCAAATCACCATTTATTTATAGTGCCATGAATTATAGTGTAAAACTCAGACGAGTGACTACGAAACATTGACATTATAATTTGTTCATATGCTTGACAAGATTGACATGGGGTTACCTTTCCCGGATTACATTGCGGCGTTGATGAGGTCAAAGATCAGTTCAGCTTCGGTCCGGCGGGACGTGCTGCTGGCGGGGATGAAGATCAACGGTGAAACAGCGACAAAGTTGGGAATTGCAGACGGTGCGTACAACAGCGAGGATACGCTGATGGATGCGGCGGTGGCAATGGCGGAGACGTTGGCGAAGAGGAAGTGGGATGGAGAAGTATACGCAGAGATTAGAAAGAGTTTGTATCCTGAAATGTGTTCGCTATTAAATGAATTGAATTCAAAGATGTAAACAGGCAAGGTAAAAGGGAAGTATAGTTGCATTCTATGTGTCGTTTTGGTGGACCGGTTGCAAAATAAATTAATAACTTACCTAAATCATTTAATCTAAATTGTTTGTTTGGAGACAAGTGAGTAACAGTATTCTATTCAATGCTATAAAATACTTAGTCTATTTTACATGATGATCATAGGTGACTTAATATTAATCGAGCTATGAATTGATGTTTGCGAAGGATTGTCCTTTTGATTTACTAGGTGAGAATGATTTTAACAGTTGATGGTTTAATATGCTTTAACATTTTGGAGACTTGTCCGAGTATATAGATGAGTAGTTTCCTTAAGCACCACTTTCAGGAGCTCGAGATGAACATGGTTAGTGATTGAATTATAAACACATTATTTATCAGAGAAAAAAAAAATCAAATTTATATTTGGTATGCTATTTATGTAGTCCAGTAGTGATAATGAATTCAAGGAAAATTTTGAATTGGAAGAAAATCTTGATAAGATTGAATAGTCTATGAGTCCGAACGCTATTTTATTTTTGATTTGGAGATAAATAGTGTGATATTTGGTTGAGTGCAGAGGTAGGATTAGAAGATCAACCTTCCAAAGATGTGCACGGTCGAGAAGCGGGGCAATCTCTTCATCCTAACTCTCACCGGCGATGACGAGCACCGCCTCAGCCCCTCCTTCATCGCCTCCATCCTCAAAGCTCTTTCCAAAGTCAAGTCCGAAGCCTCTCCAGGCTCCGTTCTCATCACTACTTCCCATGGAAAATTCTTCTCCAACGGTTTCGATCTCTCCTGGGCTCAAGCTGCCGGCTCTGTTTCTGCCGCTGCCGAACGCCTCCACCACATGGTCCAGATCTTCAAGCCCGTTGTCGCTGAACTCCTTTCCTTTCCTATGCCCACAATCGCCGCCATCGCCGGTCACGCCGCCGCGGCCGGCTTCTTATTAGCTCTCAGCCACGATTATTTGATCATGCGGAGCGATCGAGGCGTTCTGTACATGAGTGAAGTAGATCTAGGGCTAACTCTGCCCGATTATTTCTCGGCGCTGTTTAAATCGAAGATCGGCTCGAGCTCTGTCCGCCGCGATGTGTTACTGACGGGAATGAAAGTGACAGGCGAACCGGCGGTAAGGATGGGGATCGTCGAATCGGCGCATGAAGGCGCGGACGGCGTCATGAAGGCTGCCGTAAGGCTCGGGGAACAGTTGGCGGAGAGAAACTGGAACGGTGAACCCTACGCGGAAATCAGGAAAAGTCTTCACCCTGAGATCTCTCGGCTGCTTGGATTGCCGGAAAAGGTCTTCTCGATTTCTAAGCTCTGAGAAGCGAAAAGTAATTGTTCATCTCAATTGGCAATTGTGCTAATTTATGATGCGAATTTCATGATTAGTAATAAATTTCCTGTGCCGTCTTTATTTTAAATCCATTGTGTTTTCTCGTAATCTGAAAGCTGTGATGAAGAATTTACATTGAGGGATGACCGGATAATTGTTCATCGGGACGCCAACAGCCGGCAACCGTCTGTGAAAATAGCGATGTTGCCGGTCCTATTGGTGTCTATCTGTTCGGCCTGAAGTTTGAATTCTTTTTTTAGTATGCAATCACCATAGCCTTAAGCATGTCTATTGATAGCAGTTGAAACCAATGAGTTTATATAATTGAACATTCAACATTAATCGACATACACATTTAAAGCACATGATTAGGCTTGGGCTACCTGCCTAACATCAAGTGAATAGATTTATTTACCACTTTTTTAGCACCATAAAGTATGCAAATTTGAACCTTCAATTTTACTCTAGTTATCCCCATGAACGAACAAAATTTTTTGTTGAATTTTTGTAAATAGGGATCAAAATTTTGATAATAGGAAGATTAAAATGAACCAAATTTGTATAGCATTTAAAGGGTTTTTTTTTTTTTTTTTTTGGGCAAAAAGCTACTTTTTCTTGATGATGAATGGACGAAAGATATTTTGTCACATGCATTAAAGTGGAAGATAAATTGAGGAAGATTTTGAGTTGAGTTGAGTCAAGAGTGGAGGCCAATTAATTTAGCAGTGGAAAATGTGCACAGTTGAGAAGCGAGGCAATTTCTTCATCCTAACTCTGACCGGCGACGACGATCACCGCCTCGGCCCATCCTTAATCAACTCCCTTCTTAAAGCCCTTTCACAGGTTAAGGCACAAGCCACCCCTGGTTCAGTTCTCATCACAACTTCCCATGGCAAATTCTTCTCAAACGGCTTCGATCTCCCCTGGGCTCTTGCCGCCGGCTCCATTTCTGGTGCCCGTGACCGCTTAAACCACATAATCCAGATCTTCAAGCCCCTCGTAGCCCAACTCCTTTCCCTTCCTATGCCAACCATTGCTGCCATCGCAGGACACGCCGCTGCAGCTGGTTTCGCATTGGCTCTCAGCCACGACTATTTGATTATGAGGAGCGATCGGGGCGTACTATACATGCGTGAGTTGGATCTGGGTCTTACACTGCCGGACTACTTCACGGCACTGTTTAAGTCCAAGATGGGCTCCAGTTTGGCTACGCGCGACCTGATTCTGAGGGGGATGAAAGTGAGAGGTGAAGCGGCGGTCAGAATGGGCGTTGTGGAATCGACGCACCACGGCGAGGACGGCGTCTTCAACGCTGCAGTGCAGCTTGGGGAGCAGCTGGCGGCAAGAAAGTGGAACGGAGAAGTGTATGCTGAGATCAGGAAGAGTTTGTATCCTGAGGTGTCTGAGGTGCTTGGGTTACGGGGGAAGCCCATATTCATTTCTAGACTATGAAAACTGAAAGTGAATAATATAGTATGAATATAAATAAGTTCTCGATGCCATCTGTATCGTTCAGTCATATATCCAAGAAACAAATTCCCATCTATAATATGGAATCAAAACCAGTGTCTTTTTTGTTCTAATACATACCTATGTGTCTTATAAACAAAATGCAGTCTTCCCTACTCTACCAAAGTTCAATGTTCACCAAAGATATTGCAAGGGCTTGGAAAATTGTTTCTTTTAATCAAAGAACACACCGCTGCGGCCACAAAATGAAGAAAGAGTGCCTCTGCATCCGATCAGAAGTATTAAATGCCCCCACGTAGGACATGTCATGCAAAGAATTTGACCTTCTTGGAAACATCGACTTTCCAAAACCCTTTTAAAGGATTAAAAGAAGAACAAATATCTGGAGTCCCTGGATGGATAATGGTATAAGCTAGAAGAAAGATTAAAGCAGCAACATATAAAGCCTACATATCACATAAAGGCCTGACGAAAGCCAAAGTTGAAAGTAAAGGAAGGAGCCAAAGAGGAAATGATTGAGGATAGAGGTTCAACCTCAAGGAAAAGAGATGATAAAGCCGAGGGAACATAAGGGACAAAGGTCTATTATCTATTCCCAGAAATGTGGGAATCAGCATGAACTACTTGCCATTGATTTTGATGGGAAATAGAGGCCGGGGGTGAAAAATATGTAAAGACAAGGGAAGATTCGACTCAATTATATCTAATTTGATCCAGTTAGCGTGGCTTGGATCTTGGTCTCAGACCTTTTGTTAACCCCATCAAACCTTAAACCTGTTTTAGGAATAGGACACTGGGAAGCTTCTATTTGGATTAGAAACCGACGGCAGAGAGCAAAAGGGAAGAAGCAAACTAATTAGTCCTGCTGATGCTAACTTAAGAGTATGGAAAGAGTTGAGTAGCTTATCAAAGTCATCTTTTCAGGCTAACTTAAGAGTATGGAAAGAGTTGAGTAGCTTATCAAAGTCATCTTTTCAGGCTAACTTAAGAGTATGGAAAGAGTTGAGTAGCTTATCAAAGTCATCTTTTCAGGCTAACACCCGAGAGAACCATTAGTTTGTTTCTTTAATCGTTTCTTATGGGGGAGATTAGAAAGGTAATCTATTAAGGAAAGTGACAAGAAAACCACTCCTCGCATCAAGAGTGACAACCCTTTTGCCCTTGAATCTCCCAAGACTTCCAAGTAAAATTCATGGGAACTCTATAAATATAGGATACAGAGTAGACAACAGTTGGAAGGAGCCAATTCCCCCCATATACAACATTGCTACTTGCATTTTGTTAGGAAATACAAGCATCATCACTAACGGATGTACGACATAGTTAGATGTCTGCATACTTGATAAAAACCAGGTGCTCACCTGATGAACCACTGCTGAACTATTTAAGTCCTCCATGCTGACCATTTCATAGAAATCTGGATCCACTTTGGAAGGTGACACCGAACCCATAACATGTGGTAAATTAATGTCAAATAACATTTTATGAAAAGTCAAGGGACTAAAATCAAATGAAATAAACTTTAGAGACTATGAACTAGCCTTAAACTTGGAGGAGAAGAGATTTAACCTTTTAAAAAAAAATCATTTCACTTCGTCAGTGCTCGCATCAAGGCCCAAACTTTGGAGACATCAAGGAATTTTCTTATTAAGCTCACAAAAAGATTCAAAACCTGACCTCTAGGCAAAGGAGACCGTGGGCCTTAGCCAACAGGCCACCCCGTGGAGCTAAATAACTCATTTCACTTGTTTTTATGATGTCTTGATTATTCAAGCAAGATTCACAAAATGATAAAACAGAAAAATAGTAGATGTGAAAAGGGGTCTAAGAAGTACCGCGGTTGTCAAATGTTTCTGAGACCACCAGAATAGCAGAATACAAGCTTCTTTCAGTATGAGGGATATGCAGATTTTCTATCAAAATCCAGTCCCAAATAGCATGCAAGTCCTCAAGTACCTGAAATGTACCAGATAAAACTTCAAAATAAAGTAATGTTCCACGGTTGTCAAATGTAGAGTAATATTGTGAGATATTCAAATGACCCCTGCGAATAGGGCGGTGCAGGCAATATGGCTCACTGGGTAATCATTTAATAGCATCCTCACCGCAAATAAACTGTCTATTTTTGATTTACACTAGAACTAAGCTCTGGAATCAGTATCTACATGCTGGTCCAAAGACCCATGGTTCACATCCTTGGAGCTTGAACTTTCTGCAAAAAAACAACTTATGGATATAACAGAAGAACACATGATGTGTTATCAAAATACATTGTTGAATCAATGGTGGAGAGGGGAAAAAGGCAGAATATCATCATGTACCCAGAAAGAAAAATTCTAAAAGAAAAGCCAGATACATGCAACAGATCTATCTTGTAATGCATGTTAAAGATCTGATGACAATAAAGAATATGTAGACTTGTACAGACAGTGGAAAGAACACAGAGAACATGTCAAATTATATTTTGTCATTAGAGGACTAATACAACAAACAATACCCATGAAGAGTAATTTCAAATTTCAAAATTTATTTTAGTTTTATGAAGAAGATGATGAAGAATAAAGGACTGGTACAACGTTGCCTCTGAAAAGTGATGATAGAAGATTGAAGATTGAAGATTTATTTTAGTCTCAGGCTTCAGGCTTCAGGGTTTTATCAAAATTTCTGGGTTTGTAGGCATCCTAAATGGGTATAAGAAGTGCAAGACACGCCCTAAACACTTCCGTGCCTGCTAATGGTATTTGAAAAGTGAAGTATAGCTAAAAGAACATTAAGATTGTGGATTGAAAATGTGAAGTAGTTTTATCCTCTTGTAATGTAAGTTAAGCATACCAATATAATGGGAAAACAAAAAATAAAAATTCCAATAAACAGATAATTTGATTCTCAGGTACATAGAGCTACTGCTCCATCAGTCCAAAAAACCACTTACCAGTTTGCTACTCTGCTTGCTTCAAAAGTATGACACAAAAGAACAGCACATGAATAGACTATGAGTGAGATTCAAAAAGTGAACTAAAATGGTCTCCTAGTTAACGTATGCTTCTACTTCCTCTTGCAATTTAGTTGATCTAAAGGAGCATAGAATAGTTTATTACACATTTCTTATAATCCTTCAAACTAGAATGCTATATGCTCAAGAAATGCAGCATGAATGCTATCTTCTACCACAAGTTGTGTATCAGACATATTTACCTGTTTCATATCTCAATAAAGTATTTGTTTCCATTCAGTTGAATGAAACACTTCACTTCAGTGAATCCTAGCCCTTCTTGGAGTATAAGAGAAAACTTCACTTCGGTTAATGTTGATTGAAATAACATTGATAATGTTGTAAATGTGTTAACACGAATAATAAACCTGATCTTGAACATTTCTTTTGGGCACTTGATTGGTATAACGAGCAATGCAATGAGGAACATAAAAAGGAGCATCCTGCGACGCAAGGCCAATCCTAATATTTGCAGATCCTTTACACCCAAAGAAGTACCGTAATAATTAGAGCGTACAAAATATGATTAGCTCAGGGAAAATTTTTTATTTTTAATATTTGCAGATCCTTAGATTTTTTTTTTTTTTTTTCTTCTTCCTTTTATATTAGATTTCCATAGTAACTCCTTATTTAAGGGTGAAGTTATAAGTTCCAATAAATAAGTTTCATTTTTATATAATTTTTGCTATTTAATATATAAGTTTCATATTTCTTGTATTGGCTAGTGTTTAGATCATTCTTAGTTTCTCTAAAAGTGATATTAATTTCAAATTCATTAGAATTTAACTAGGTGGAATTAAAATTAATGCATTCATTAAAGGGCAAAATTTTCTTTTTTATTTCAAAAAAATGAAGAAGATTTGAATTTAAAATTTTAAAAATGTTAGGAAGGCTTTTAACTGGATTAGTACTATGAATTCAGACTCAAACCAATTCACACAATACTACTAAGTTGATGGTTCAATTCTTCGTTAAAAAATGAAAGAAAGTCTATCAAAAATAACATCTTCTTATCTTCTCTTCTCTCGAGCACAGGCACACAAGTACAAGGCCCTGTATGCCACAGCTCAAATTGAATAATAACTCATCAGAAGACAAACAATGAAGCAAAGTAATTCGAGAAAAAGAAAACTACCAAACTATGTGTATACCTAAGAACTGAATGGCAGAGCAAATTAATCCAATCGCTAAACTGTTGCTTCTTCAACAAATCTAATATGTTTTAGTTTTAGATGTCTTCTTCTTCGAGTGCTTCCTTGGACCTGTGGTCTTCATCCCTAAGAAGAAAATCAGAGCACCAAAAAGTGCAATGTGCTGCAAAGAAAATAAGATTCCGTAAGGTTTAGTAAATTAAGATGAATGATATGAACCCATATGGGGAAAAACAAGTTAAAAACAAGATGGACAAACCTGCAAGAAATCACTAAACAACAGGATATCGAAAATAGGTTTCTGAGGGCTATAGTTGAAGAAATCATACAGAACCGGAGTGATAATAGCCAATTGCAGAAGCTGAAGGAGAAGGCAATAATTTCTTCAAAGATGTGCATAAATTTAGAGTAACAAGTTTATTCTTGAGGCTAAAATTAAGAACATGGTGAATCCATACCAGGAGATAAGCTCCAACTCTGCTGCCAAAAACAAACAGAAGGCCTCCAATCCCTTTAAGAGATAAAGAAATGGCAACCAAGTGTCTGACCTGCAGAAAATTATCAAAGTTTGAAAAAGAAAAGTTACAGAAGACTCATATTGTCAACACTGAAGGTGAAAAATATGGTCTTACATCAATCTCAGGTATCGCTACCCCCAGCTTGGATGATAAATTTCTCCTCAAAACAGCTACTTTTAGAGACAACTCCGCGGCTGCTGGCCCTCCATTATGGCCGAACTCATTAAACCTAAGCAATGGATGTATGGTAAGTCAGTAAGGGTGAGTTTGGCCTACCTTCTAACTTATACACTTGAAAAAAAAAAAACCTTATTTTTCTTAAAAACATTGTTTTTTAAAATGGTTTCCATAAAAATTGTGCATCTGGTAAACAAAGCAAGCTCGGAATCAAACTCTTTCCTTGACATTTAGATGAGAAACCAAATTGTTGAAAATGCGAAAAATATTTATATATAAGAATATGGAGGTAAAAGGCAGACCGAAACCCAATTGGTTCAACGATTCGATGAAGAAAAACATCCTAATGTGCACGACAAATTGCACAGAAAAGTTTACAGCAGGAACTTTCCTTTGTTTTCTTTTTCATATCGTGAGTACCTGAACCAGACCTCGACTACTCTCATAGACAACTGCCTAACCTTATTAGGTTCAATGCAAAGAAAATTCATGGAATATTCAACTTAAGTGATGATTCCTATGGCTTGAACCTATTCTTTCTAAGCTCTTTACTATTTGCATCGGTTCTTATTGACTGCTAATTCAATCAATGGCAATTGAATTATCCCACCCATGTTGGTTGAATTTCTCCCTGTTAATCAGTATTTAAAGGGAGTTCATTTCTACCACATTTCTGCTCAATATCAAATGTCAAGTTTATTACTACAGAATTGAAATAAAATTGGGGATCTTCAATGCAATTTGTCTTCTATCCCCTCATTTAACATAGTTGATTCAAGTTTAAAAGGATAAAACAAAGCTTTATCCCCTACAGAAATAAATGTACCTGTAATTATATTCTTCATATACTAACCAACGCCTGGAATTAAATAAAATCAAACTAATAGAACTGATGGCTTCTCATGAAATCGGTTTAATCCAGCCCTCCAGTCTCAACCAAAGCCAGAAAATGTAAACTTCAGATAATAATGGTCCGTAATCTCTATGAAAATGAGAAACGAACAATGTAGGAATTATTCATAAACATCAACCCATCGCAAACTACGAAACGAAGGATAGTGGATGGTGCCCTAATAAATCTCGGCCATTTGAAGTACTTGCGCGTAAGATATATGTAGAAAGTTCAGCCAGACAGAATTCCATAACAGAACACAACAGCAACACAATCACCACGCATTTACAAACAGTAACGAGAAAACAAAAAATTCGGTAATGCAAGCAACAAAACCCTAGAACGATAGAAGACTCGAAGTGGAAGAAACATATGGATTGAATGGACTAATTAAAGATCCAATGAATCAGAAGATTAGAGATGAATATGAGATAACAATAGAGGAATCGAATGACTTACATCTGCCAGGCGGAGAGAATGAAGATGGAAGCAAAGAGGACCCGTCCAAGGAAGGAGAAGAACCTCATGTTTCTCAATTCACCCTGTTGTGGATCGGCAACTTCTTCGCCTCCGGCTGGACGATGAAATTGCTCACAGTTCCTTATAAATGGGCAGAAAGGAGATTTCAAGCTGTCAAATTCAAATTTAAAAGGTTAAATTAGAGCGAAAATACACTCAATTTGATTAAATTTAAAAATATTTTTACCATTAATTTAAAAGTCAAATATTAGCCCCTAAAAGTTACCATAATAAACCTTAAAAAAAACATTTTTATTTTTTAACATATGTATGAAAATGGTAATACCAATCCCCTCTCTTCTATTTTCTCCTATTATATTTTTATTTCTTTTAATAAGTTTTTTTTTTTTTTTTTTAAAGCAAAATGGCAAAGTATTGACTTTAATAATATAATAATAAATGTATTGACTTCATTGCCATTAGGTTTTTAAAAAAGATAGAAAATTTGAATTTTGGGACAATATTATCTAATTTCGAGCTAAGCATATAATATAAAAATTAACCCACGTGCTTATTTACATTATTCTACGACAACCTTGGTCATGCTTAGGAAAAAATAAAATTCATTTCTTATCCTTACATTCAAGTGGATTAATTAAAATGTGATAAATGGACTATTTTATCAACGTTAAATACCTAAATTACGACAACCACTTAAGGCGTTCCTTCGATTCAAGCCAAGAGATCGGCTATGGCGGTCGCAGCCTCAACAGTCAACGGATTCAGCCTCACTCCGGTATCCAAAGCCGACGAAAACTACCACAGACCCACTGACCTTAAAGCTTTCGACGACACGAAAGCCGGCGTCAAAGGCTTAGTCGACGCCGGAATCACCGAAATTCCACGTATCTTTTACAGCCCACCGGAGAATTTTAACTCCGATGATGTTTCCAGCGAAACCCAAATCCACATACCAGTGATTGACCTCGAGCATATCGACAAATCCACCGTCGACAGAGTCAGAGAAGCTTCAGAGAAATTGGGTTTTTTCCAGTTGATTAACCATGGGATTCCGGTGGACGTTCTTGAAGAGATGAAAGATGCAGTTCGGAGATTTCACGAACAAGAAACAGAATCAAGGAAACAATATTACACTCGCGACCTCACGATGCCTTTGATTTACAACAGTAATTTCGATCTGTACTCTGCTGCGACCACCAATTGGAGGGATACATTTGGGTATATAAGTGCCCCAAAGCTCCACAATCCGGCAAGCCTGCCGGAAATTTGCAGGTAACTGTGGTGATAATTTTGATTTTTTAAACCTTTTACTAACCTCTGAAGCTCTGTTTGAAATTTGCAGGGATATTCTAGTGGATTACTCGAAACGAGTGATGGAGGTTGGGAAATTACTGTTTGAATTGCTGTCGGAAGCTCTGGGCCTGAACCCAAATTATTTGAACGATATAGACTGCAACGAAGGGCTTGCACTTGTATGCCACTATTACCCACAATGCCCACAGCCGAATTTGGCCATCGGCACATCGGAGCACACTGACAATGACTTCATCACTGTGCTATTGCAAGACCACATCGGCGGCCTACAGATTCGGTATGAGAACAAGTGGGTGGACGTGCCCCCGGTCGCCGGAGCTTTAGTCGTGAACATCGGAGATCTTATGCAGGTAAGTTTATGCAAAAAAAAATGAAAACTTTCTGGATCTCTCCCAATACGTATGTAGCCTGTAATTCATTTGGGGTTTGGGTGCAGCTAATAACGAATGACAAATTCAAAAGCGTGAAGCACAGGGTTCTTGCAAACAAGGAGGGGCCGCGAGTGTCAGTGGCTGGAGTCTTTTCGACGCTTTCTTTTCCAACCTCGAAATTGTATGGACCCATCAAGGAGTTGTTGAGTGAAGATAACCCTGCAATATACAGAGAAACCACTGTCAGAGACTTCAGTATCCAGTTTCGTTCAGTCGGCCTTGGAACTTCTACTTTGCAGCATTTCAAGCTGAGTGAAGCAGATACTTAATTATGGGTGTTCTCTGTTTGATTGAACTCGTAATCTTAATTCTAACCGCAATCTCTGTAGCTCAAAAACTAAACCGAAGCTTGTTTCATGGTGTCATCGTCGATGTAAGATTGTAAGCTGAATATGAATAAATTAAGACTTCGATTGATATCATAAAAATAAAATAGATGAGTCGATTAAGTAACAATTTTGACGATTTAAATTGAAGGGTTGGTTTGATTTTTTTGAACACTTATTAACCACAACCACGAACTTAATGAATGGCTTATTTGAATCAATAATGGTGTAGCAACGTAAGCTCTTACGAAAGGTAGAACTTTCAACTAAAGAATATTTATAGTTCATTAGCGTGGTCGTAAGACAACAATTATGTGGCACTTGTTCTAACTTAATGAACAAGTTAGTTGTGTGAAAAACGAACTTTAAAGATAATTTTAACGAATGATTGAGTATTGAGTCACATTTGACAGAAAATGAAAAACTAAGCACAATCTGAAAAGTAACGTTATAGCCTAAAAATGAATAAGTACCGACCAAAACATTCCTAACATAATCTAGTAACATAATTTAGTAAGAGGAATTAACAACTAGTAGCATCTCAAATTACTCTTTTTCAGCCATTTTATGCATACTTGGTATACACATGATTCTGATGAAAATAAGTGGCATGCTGTCGTAGACAATATGCCTTAAACAAATATGATCAAACACATCCGACATGCGAACCATAAATCATTTGACTTGTATAAGCATGATCCAAATCGGACACCTCTTAATAAAGTGAAAAGGAGTTATTCATATCCACTCATTCAGTCAAACTTGGAAAATTCATTACCAGAAGAAAACTAGAACCTCGAACGAAACTTCCCATCATTAACAGTATCCCTTCTGCATTTATATGCAACAGCTGCCACCACCGATCAAGGCACTTCACAATTTTGAAAAGATTCAGTTCTTTTGATTTGAATCCAATCTGTTTCGTCGAAGCCAAGAGAATGGACAATGACGGTCGCAGCCTTGGGATCAACGGAGTCGATGGAATCAACCTCACTCCGTTATCCAAGGCCGACGAAAACTACCACCGACCCACTGAACTCAAGGCTTTCGACGACACTAAAGCCGGCGTTAAAGGCTTAGTCGACGCCGGAATTACCGAAATTCCCCGTATCTTTTACCACCCACTGGAGGAAGATGACTCCGGCGAAACCCAAATCCGTATTCCAGTGATAGACCTCGAAGGCGTCGCCAAAGATTCACTCAAACGCAAAGACATTGTTGAACAAATCCGTGAAGCTTCAGAGGAATTGGGTTTTTTCCAGTTGATTAACCATGGAATTCCGGCGAGCGTTCTTGAAGAAATGAGAGAATCTGTTCGGAGATTTCACGAACAAGACACGGAAGTGAAGAAACAATTCTATACACGGGACCTCGCGAAGCCATTTGTTTACAATAGTAACTTCGATCTATACTCTGCAGCGACCACCAATTGGAGGGACACCTTTAGCCATGCTAGTGCTCCAAACCCTCCCAATCCACAGGACTTGCCGGAAATTTGCAGGTATATGTGCTGATTTTGAACCAAAACAAAATACTCTGGTATTAACCTCTGTTTTGTGCAGAGATTTTCTGGTGGATTACTCAAAACGGGTGATGGAGATTGGAAAATTACTGTTTGAATTGCTGTCGGAGGCTCTCGGTCTGAACCCAAATTACTTGAACAACATAGGCTGCAGTGATGGGCTTGCATTTGTATACCACTATTATCCTGCATGCCCACAGCCGAAATCGACCATTGGCATATCCGAGCACTCTGACACTGACTTCATCACGGTGCTGTTGCAAGACCACGTCGGCGGCCTACAGATTCGTCATCAGAACAAATGGATTGACGTGTGTCCTGTCGCCGGAGCGTTAGTCGTCAACATCGGAGATCTTATGCAGGTAAGTCTGCAGCATCCTCCCTGTTACGACGCACATATGGATCGCCAAACTATGTCGGACACCCTTTAATTAAATCGGATTTTTTGATGCAGCTAATAACAAATGACAGGTTCAAAAGCGTTAATCATAGGGTTGTGTCGAAACATGAGGGTCCGAGAATATCAGTGGCTGGCATTTTTTCGACGCTTGTTTTGCCAAGCAACAAACTTTATGGACCCATCAAGGAATTGTTATCGGAAGAAAATCCTGCAATATACAGAGAAACCACCGTCAGAGACTTCAGTATCCAATTCCGGTCGGACGGCCTTGGAACTTCTACTTTAAAGCATTACAAGCTGAATCAAGCAGAGGTTTAAATTGCAAGGAAATGGACGAAGATCAGAACAGTTCTTTTTATCATCCGTTGTAATAATTTTCTTTCAGTTCCACTTCGTTTTATAGTAAAACTTTTGTATGACTTTACGTTAAATTTCAATAATAAAATTGCATCAGATTCTTATCCCAAATCCCACGAATATGTTACCGGCCGCCTGAGTTCGGCGAGTCCCTGTTCCCGGTGAAGCCCAAATGAGCATTCCTGTGATAGACCTTGAAGGAATCGACAGAGATTCATCCAAAACTGTATCAGTTATTTTAATCCTTGAATTCATTTGAAAATTTGGTGTTGAATGGAGTCTGGGTGAGATGCCAATGACTTAAAGATTGTGATGCAATTTCCATTTGTTTAATCTGAAGTCAATTCCCGAGTGCTAAACTGCGACACGTAACCATGTAAAGGCCTTCCTCTCTTTTTTCCTCTCCAATTCCCCTTTTGCTCATTCAATCTTTCGATTTCCCAACCGCCGCTACGCCATGAATGTTCATCAGCTTTCTGCAAAACCACTTTCGAGTCCCGGTAATCCCTCATCAATTTCTTTGTAATTTCGAAATCGATTCAACTTCTCGATCTCTTTCTTTGTAATTCTTTTGCCGCAACTTTTGGGGGTTTTGGGTACTCTGATTTTCTCGATTGCTATCTGGTGGAAGGGCGTTCTTGAGTTTCTTCGATGGTTTTTGCAGTGTTTAGAGAGTTATGAGAAGATGGGTGATCACTGGATCGGATTTTGAGAATTGGAGGTTTCTGCTGAATTTAGGAAAGAAGAAGATGAGGGATTTTCCAGGGAGTCCTGGGACTGTGATGGGGCTAATTCTGAGGATTTTGCAGTTTGTTTTTGCTGCTGCCTCTGTTGCTTCTATGGCTTCGACTGCTTACTTCTTCAAATTCACAGCTTTTTGGTTTGTGTTCTTTGCTCCCTTTTTAGTTCCTCTGTTTCACTTGAATACAATCTGATGATTCTCCATGCATCTAATTTGTTCGATCTTAGTCTTATAATCAACCAATGAAACTACGGTCAATCTTGAACCATCCCCTGTGATAAAGCAAACTGGTTGTTTATTATTTGCACCACGAGCTGTTTAAAGGGCACAAACTGTAGCAATTTCATATCATATAGATGTTTCATTGTACCTTTCCTGGCCATAAGTACTGAAAATGACCATCTTTCGACAATTTGGATGATGAAAGTTCAAGATTTGAGCTTCCCGTTGATTGCTGACAATGACCAAAAGTATCCATCTGCATAGCATTGAAAATCAGTCTACAAAAATGGAGATGAAAACATGTGCAGTTCTCTAATTGGATATTCTTTTAGATTACCTATTTTCTCCCACCATAGCCATGAGACCAGTTCATCTTGTTGCAATGTTCTTTGTGATATGAATCCCAAAACACATAGGATTTCACATAAAGAATACTTCTTGTTCGATGTTCTTACCATTTATCCTTTGTGCAGCTACCTGATAGCTTCATTGGGGTTGCAAATCACCTGGAGTTTTGTGCTAGCATTAATCGATGCCTATGCACTAGTAAAAAACAAAGCACTCCAGAACTCTCTGCTCATTAGCCTCTTCGTCGTCGGGGATTGGGCAAGTCTCCATTAAACTTTTTCACCGACTTCTTTATGCACAACTCTAAGTTTCATGCGTGATGTTGCAGATTACAGCAACATTGACACTCGCAGCAGCCTCTTCTTCTAGTGGGGTAGCAATACTGTATTTCAACGACTTGGACATTTGTGGTTTTATTGGGGAATGCCAAAAATACCAACTCTCTGTCGCCTTGGCATTCCTCAGCTGGATAACTGTTGCAACTTCTTCTCTTATCATGGTCTGGCTATTGGCTTCCAGTTAAACCGTTTGTTGTACACTCAATTTCAAATGTTGCACAGTTTTTATTTCATCGATTCCAATTTCGAACTATCAAATCCTACTGATTTGATCCATTTTAATCTTCTTCTTTAACATTTAAGTTCTTCCCCTTCATGAGATGAAATCTCGAATGGTCAATTTCTTTTTGTTTACCAACTTGTGAAGTATAACTGTTACAAATTAAACGATTTTTCAACTGGTATATACAAGAAAAGAAGTGCAGGATAACTTACTGCAAAGGAATAGACATTTCAAGAAGTTCAATCCTTACCTTACCTTACATCCTATGAGGTTCATCTTCACAGCTTCATGCTTCTACCACTACACAAATTCGAGCCTCTGCAAATAAGGTTATTAAAGGAGAAGGCATAGCTTCAAACTATAATCAAAACTCCCAAAGGAAGTCGGAAGAACAATAGAGATGGAAGCTTCTACAAATTCAAATGAAAATAAGTGTGGATTGAACTGAGAACAATATCATAAATATAACGGACATTGAGTTGGAAATAAATAAAAAGAGTATCAAACGAAATCCTTGCAAATTCTGCTTCCATTTTGCAACTGATAGTTTACAAGAAAAATCAGGAAGTATTGAGAGAAATACTTACATGTTGGTGAACAAAAAATAGATGGATGAAAGAAAAAGAGACTCTAATTGTTTAAAGGTGGCAAATTGAACTAGGCAGCAGGAGGCCTGAGCTCATGATCTTGAGATGTATCGCGTACTGATGGAGGAAGATATTGCCACATTGGGATCAAACCATAACCAGGAAAAACAGCCATCTTACCTGGAGCAGCATGATATGCAGCTGGATGACCAGGGATAAGCCCTGGAGGTGGGATGGCTATAGATTTCAACTGTCGTTCGATTCTTTCTTTGTCTTCTTTCAAATTCATTCTCTCTTTCCGAAGATCATTCTTCTCTGCCTGTTGAAGAATTTATGCAAGCAATTTATGTCAATATCTGTTTCAATTTGTGACAATGTCATGCAAGTGGAAATGATAGCTAACCTTTAAGCACTCGACTTCTTCTTGCAACTTTTCATTAGTTTGTTTGAGCTCTTCGGCTTCTGTCTTGAGTTGATTTAACACTCTAATGGCATCATCAAGAATGGCCGGCTTGTTATTTTTGGAAGGCCTACCAGGTTCTAAAGCAAGACTTAAATCTAGAAACCTGCACAAATTACCAACAAAAACAAAAGCTTTACACTTTACTGCATGTCCTACAAACAACTGATTGAAGCATTAACTCATCCCCTAATATCCCACAAGAAGTGCAAAATCCAAACAAGTGATTCTAACTTTGAATTCCCTTTTGGATAGCAAAGCATATTCATACACAGAACAGAAATACCATCAGGCTAGTCTCCCCATCATAATCATCAATAACGGATGAAAAAAACACGAAAGATTATAGATGCTTGCCTATCATTTAATCTCTCTCTCCGCAACCTCTCACGACAAGCTTTTGAAGTTGGTCCAGCGCACGACCCATCTCGAGCCCTGAGAATTATTCAAGGGAAAAGCTTACAGGTAGATATAAGTGAAAAATTAAGGAAAAAGTTCACAATAGACCGCTTATTGACTAAGAAAAATAAATGATGCTAAAATTAAGTGAACCATGGGTTATGTTTATTTCCCAAGATACGAGCTATTTCCTACTGAAAGGGCTAGAACCACAAAAAGAGAGAACAAGTTGGCTAAAATTGATGTTTCAAAATCTATCAGCAACAATAAGGTCACCAATTCATGAGTAAGCCATTGACAATTCACTTGCAATATTTTACTGAAACCTAAAGTAAAACGCTAGGTCATGGATTTTCGAAAAACATGTCTTTAAGAAGCGTAGAAACATAAACAGGGAGAACTGAAGAAGTTGATATCGCTGCAGACCAAAAGAACTACCTCTTCCGCGAATGATCGTTTTGTTCAGATTCAACACGCCCGGCTGAAACATCAGTATGCGCGCAACTATCCCTGCAAGCGAAACGAAATCCCTAAATTCGTGAAATGCTCCGTTCAATCAAACACGTGAAACAAAGAGTAGTTAAAAGGAGAACAAAATCGAAGAAGAGGTGAGGAAGGAGAGCAATGCAGTAATCAGTGTTGAAATATTGCCTGGAATCACTAGGTGGGCACAAAGGATCGAGCGAAGGGTTAATGATATTGTCGCCGTCGACGAACAAGGAGTAATCAAGAAAATCCCAACAACTCGAGTCCTCTAATGGATCCATCTGATCTGGAATCAAAGCGTCGTCGTCGACCGCAACTCTAATCCGAACTTGAATCTCATTTCGCGATCAAAGCTTTTGGGAAACGAAAACGAAGAGATTGATAAATTCATGGAAAATTAGGGAGTCGAAAAATGGAAAAAAGATGATGGCGGATTGGAAGAACCAGTGAGAAAGGAACACGTGTATCGCACATTGACCCCTCGATAGAGGGAATCTCGAATTAAGCGAAATTTTACCGCCGCCGCGTTTGTTTATCTGGTTGGGTATCATTGTCTGTCCCACCTGGCTGATCCGCTGCGTACAGCACCACCACAAAATTGTACAACCGCATCCCAACCTTTTAACAAAGAAATAAATTTAAAAATATCAATATATAAAAGATTAAATCATTACTTCTTAAACAATAAAAACTAAATCAAAAAACTTCCTTCCATGTTTGAGAAGGGTTGACAACATAAATTTTGAGCTAACTTGGTAAAGTAAAAAGAACCCATTTAGAAGTTCATCGTATCTTGTAATAGTATGAGCCTACCAGTAGTCGAAATTGTTTTCTTTAGATGTTCCTTTTCAAACTTTCCTAAAAAACTTTTGAAACGCGTTGCTAGAGGAGACGCTAGGAGGAGGGTTAAATATCCCATTCCACACCAATGTAAAAAAAAATGTTTCATTTCTCTCCCCACCAATGTGAGATCTCGCAATCCACCCCTTCCTATTTCTTCTTTCCCCCCTGAACCAATATGATATGACCTTGTGCAGTTATTGTTCATTTACTCGACTGTCCTTCCTCCGACGCCTCCCGTTCATTTTCCATTCTTTCATCTTTTTTATTTTGTTGTGGGAGTCTCTTTCTTTTTTGATGTGCTGTCACGCTCCCTTCCCGTCTATGGCCGAAAGGGATCCACCCCTTCGCGTGTTATGAACGCAATTATCTTTAAATCTGTATATCTATGCGTATTATTTAAATTTATGGTTCTAAATTGAATCAAAACCTTTAAAAAAATCTGACTTGGATGGATAAGGAGTTGGTTCTTTGGGCCACAAACAAAGTCATCACTTTCCAAGGATCAGCTAGAATTGGCAGTACCAACTCAACCATTTCCCCATGTGATTTAATGTGAATAAAATATAGCTTAAGATAGCCATCACATCTGATACCCAAAAAGAAAGGGATAGATATGAAAACCAAAGCTTATCCAAGAACCAAACAAAATGACACTCTTTAGCTATGGATGAGGGAAACAGAAACCGTGTTATTCAACCTGAATGTATTTGTTTGCATCTTGAACATAGAACGGATACAAAAAGAGAATGATCAAATGATCAAATGATCAAATGACATGAGCTTCATTTTTAAGCTTGTCAATCAGTTCATCGACAGACGACAATACGACACCCGCTTTTCTTTTCGGAGGTTCCGTAACTTCAACGACCTCTAAATCTGGCTTCACATCCACATTTAATTCCTGTGGAGTGAACTTCTTTATCGGTTTTGATTTCGCTTTCATTATGTTTGGGAGCGTAGCATACCTTGGTTGATTCAGCCTCAAATCAGTTCTGCATGACAACCCAAAACAATTAGTTCCTTGATTGAAGATATTTAGATCTATGGAGTTTTATAGGCAACTGGTTTTCTGAACTCTCTAAGAACTCAACATGATCACTAGACTTCTAAAGGATGAGTAGTTTTCAGCATCAATATTTCAAGCAATTCGACCTCGAGTACAAGGAAATCTGAATCTGAAATATCGACATTTCAGATACAAGTTCGAGCAACTAACGTGATTACGGCGGGTAAGTCCAAACAGAGAGTCTCAAGACCACCATCTACTTCTCTGTCCACTGTCACTGCCTGCTTCTCCTTGTCTATCACAACCTACTGGAAACAAGGATCAGAGTCATATCATATTCTCTACACAGCAGGCAAGGTAGTTTCAAGCAATGTAAAAATGAAGAGAAGCACATAATCATTCTCATATTCTCTTGGCACCTATTTGCAACATCTAAGAAAGGTTATACATAATAAATACGAAATTGTACGTGCCAAAAGTCGAATGAAGTTCAAAACGATTTTGAGGAGAGATTGACCTGTATAAACTAGACAGACATTGAAAGAGAACTTCGAGTTCCATTATGCAGAGATGAAACGTACACGATGACACTTTGGGCAAATTTTAAGTTCCATGGGCATGATAGCTTTAGCACGACAACATGAACGTCATATCAGTAACTTTCGTGTTCCATTGTTTTTATAGCTATGGGTATCCACGCCGATCCTAATACATTTGGTATCAAAAAATCTCAACAGATTATGTTTGAATCTAGAAATGAGCAAATCTCAACCTGTAACAGCCCAAGCTTACCGCTAGCAAATATTGTCATTTTTGGGCTTCCCTTGTGGACTTCCTCTCAAAGTTTTTAAGACGCGCCTACTAGGGAGAGGTTTCCACACCCTTATAAATAATGTTTCGTTCCCCTCTCCAACCGAGGTGGGATTTCACAATCCTGAAGCCTAGCGTCCTCATCGGCGCTCGTTCTTCTCTCCAATTGAGGCGAGATCTCACCCAACCCATTGTGAGTTATATCTATTGATTTCTTATAAATTTCTTAGTAGTTGCTCAAAAGAAACTAAAGTACTTGACCACCGCAAGAAAGACATTTTATAAATGAAGAACCTGCCTAACTCAAACCTAATGGACACAGCACCATGCATTAAGCAGTGGATATTGGAGCAGAATCTCAAAGTACTTAATGAAGTATTCTTATTGCTGC